AGATTTGATCTTGGTTCAGAGAACCCAACGCAGAATGGAACACAAACTTCTGATTTTCAGTGAAATGCTTTAGAGAGGACTTTATTTTCATACATTCTGAAGAAATTGGTCTTGCCTTAGTAAATGGTCAAAAAAGTGTGAAAGGACGAATAGGACATATAGGGCAAATAGGCTTTATCTCTCATGAATTCTGACTGAACGGTAGCTCTGTGTGTGTTCAGGAGGGTTCTGAGGTCATGTCTGGGCTTGTGGAAAAGAATGACTTAATATGGGTGGAGGAAATGGCGTGTTTGGTGGCCATCTCTGGAACATTGCTTTTAATATTTTTTTTCCCCCCCAAAATAGTACTACTCTTGAAATGGATAGGAAGTTGAGTATTTATTCTTGGGTTTTCCTATCGGGGTCAGTTTTTCTGTTCTGATTGTATATATTTTTAATGACCAGGTACTGGCATTGGCTATGCTTATTACATTTCAAAACTTTTGCAATCGAAGTAAATAATGAATGGGTGATAGTAACATTTTATAGCATTATCTTATTAGTTTTTCTAATTTTGTTCCTTTTGCGCTATTCCATCAGGTTTTCTTTTGAAGCAAGACAAGCCTTTGATACCCATTTTGGGGAGGAAGTGGGATATACAGTTTGTTGACTGCTGCTCATTTTAGGCCGGTATTTTGAGAGGGGCCAAGAGGTTGCCCCCGCCCCCAGGATCTTCTATATATGGCGAGGATCAGGGAAGAAAGGTTTTGGATCTTAAATCTTTTCAAGGTGTAGTGCAAGGTATAGGATCATGGTGAAAAATAAAAATTTTATAAAAGGTCGTAAACAGAAGTAGAAGTTCCCAATCTATTCTATCTAGAACACTTTGGTCACATTTCTCTGAAATAAACGTATTAACCTTAAAATTCTTCCAGAAATTTTTCATGATTATGCAAGCAATGGTGTATGTATTCTCTTCCCTTCTCCCTTTTATATATAAATGGGCCTGTGTTTCAGGGTTTTTTTTGCCTGCAGTTTGCCTGCATTTGTTTCTTAATATGTCTTTGGCATCTGTCCATATCTGAGCATATAGATCTAAAAGAAAGGAATTCTGAGTAGATGGAAATAGGGATAGAAGCTCAAGATTGGAGGCCATGGTGACTGACTGCCTTTATTGTTTGAGTGTGAATTCATTTACTTCCCTGTCAAGGGAAGTTAAAAGAAATAACATTCCAAATAAACGATTGGAATGTTTTGTTGTAGCTGCTTTTCAGTTGCTGACTCTAATTGAGTCAACAATTACAGAGACCTGGGAGGGGTTTAATAGATTGTTTTAGAGCTCATAAGTGGGGATTGGATTATTTATAAGTTGGCAAATGGTTGCTGCTTGTGATTCATTTAGAACTACTCAAATTTATAAATTCCTTAAAGTCTCGAAAAATACTTTTATTGACTTTTAAAGTCTGAGTTTAAAAATAACTTATAAAGAATTTACAGTGAACTAATGTGTTATAGCACTTGGGCCTTATTAGTAAAGTTCATGGGAATAAATATTGATTATCTGGTCAGTTCTTAACAATCTTTTTTGGGAGAGGTGGTTGTTTATTGCTAATATAAATTCTTTCCCACTGAATATTTTTAAGTATGACACTTTTGCAAAGGCTTACCTTGGGCAGCATTTTCTTTAAACGAATTTTGAGGATTTGACATTATAAAGGACGCATTTCTGAAAGTTCCATTTTTGGGGGGCTTGATATATTTAGACAAGGTTAAAACTTTAACATTTAAGATCTAAGCAGTTTGTCATTTAAATCAAATCTATGACTATTTTTTTTTTTTTCCAACCAGATATAACCCTTTGGTTAAAGTGAGAAAAACTGGGTTTGAATTATAGTCACATTAGTATTTTTAGGCTCTGAGAACATATAAATTAGATAATGTTGCCAATTTGAAAACTTCCTATTTAGGCAATTAATGTTTGCTTTAAAAACCGAGGTAAGAAACCAGCTGGACTTCCTTCACATTCACTTAGGCACAGGAAATTACTGTGAAGCATAGGTCATTATATTTGGGTTCTTTGTTACATTGAATACTTTATACTTATACTCCGTAGGGGACAAGAAGGTGACTTATTAAGAAAATGTAAATCTTTTTTTAATGGGAGGGGATTAGTCTGTAATCAATAATTTAGGAATCAAATTATCAATTACATAGTATTTAAAAGTAATATTCAAATCGTGTGAACTGAGCCAACAAAGAAAGGAGTAGTTCATTGCTAAATACTTTTTACGTAAGACCGACCCTTCAGTATCTTGAAATACATTCTTTAACATACGTTTTTATATGACACATTTTCTAAATATATTTTTAATATAGTACATTTAGATATTAGATTATTAACTTCCACCGAGAACGGAAGGATGCCAATAAATTTAAAAACAAGGTAATGGAAGTTACTCCAGTTAAAGGTCAATTACATATTAAAATGAAAGCGTCTTCCAAGTGCACATAGGGTACAGTTTATGTATGGGAACTCAGTCATCCATCCAAAGGTTATTTCAGTGCACGTCACTGCATTAGTTAATGCATAGGGAAGTATGTAGAGGTCTTCAATTGAGCACCTTCTAGAACTTCTTGAGAGTAAAATGTGTAAGAATGAAAACATAGTAGATGAAATTGATTATTTAGAGGAAGAAACCAGGCTTTCTGCGAATGAGCCATAAGATAATTAAAATCACTAGGGTGTAATTCTTATTACAGCTGTAGAGTTTATGGTCTGATAAATGGCCCCTGTTCCACCACAGAGAGTAATTCTAGAAACTGGACAGTTTGTTTTCCTCAAATGGGTCCCTCTTTCCCAGGAATTGCATTGAATAAACATCCTCAAATTCTTAATCATCTTACTCTTTTGTAAAAGCCCCTGTCTCCTTGTCCCCGAGGCCATTTCTCATTCTTTCTTAGTTAGACTTGCATACCAGTCATCCTCCCTGGGACCACACCCTGGTCACTGTACTTGTTCATTTGCAAATTCCTGAGCCACTTTGGGAATCAGCTTAGTGCATGCTGATTTCAGTCCAAGGAAACTTGAATGTCAAGGTTTCCCAGTACCTTGCTGTCTCGTGTACATATCGTATCCCATGTCCCACCATAATCTGTGAATGATCGTACTGTAACCTTTAGAGCAGTGATTGCCCTGAAGCCACTTGTCTAGCTATTTGCTTACTGCGTCTCCCCCACAGGCCATTCCATATCTCATTTACACCACATCCCTGGCCTCCAACTCCATACAGTTTTAATTGAATTAATACATTAGCTAATCCACTACATTTTAACCTATGTGACAGAAGAGATTGAAGGAGAGTGATCTGCATGTAATCTACATGCAGATTGGGATTTGCGCCAGTGGGTGGGAAGGTATCTGTGCTCCCTGAGGAAATGGTGCTCTGAGCAGCCACCGCAGTGGCTAGTTGTTTTGGCACACCCTTCTCTACAGTGGGTGGGCGAGGAGGAAAGGGCGGAGGAGAAGCATTAGCAGAGGCTGAGAACAGAAATGGGGCGTTTTCAAGGGCCGATGCTTAGCCCAGCGGAGGCAAGCTGGTCATGGGGACTGGTTAAGAGAGATGCTTGGGCAGAGCTGCAGGGACAGGTGGCAGACAACCTGTGTTCTGGCTAGACCCGTTACAGTGTGGAACAGAGGGAGAGGTTCGCTTAGGGCAGGGGTCCTCAAACCCCGGGCCGTGGACAGGTACCAGTCTGTGGCCTGTTAGGAACCAGGCCGCACAGCAGGAGGTGAGCAGTGGGCAACTGAGCGAAGCTTCATCTGTATCTGCAGCTGTTCCCAGCGCTGGCATCACCGCCTCGGCCCCACTTCAGATCATCAGGAATTAGATTCTCATGGGAGCACCAGTCCCTGATGCCAAGAAGATTGGGGCACCACTGGCTTAGGGACTAGCTTGATGAGGTCACCTCATAGGGATGTTACAATAATTGGAAGGGGTAAGGAATTGTAGGCATGGAGAATAGAAGGATGGTACTTAAAGCAAACCCGTGGGGTAGTGGGGCGACATGAAGAGGGTATGTTATGAATCGATGAGCCTCGCATTTGGACATAAGATAAGCGATACGTATTAGTAAAGAAATGAGCACATAGTGAAGTCTGAATGTGGAGAGGCTGCTCAGAGTAACATAGTAGATTATATGTGTATATAGAGAGTGCTAAATGTCATAGTGCTCTGCCGGGCAAACCCGTGGGGTAGTGGGGTGACATGAAGAGGGTATGTTACGAATCGATGAGCCTCGCATTTGGACATGAGATAAGCGATACGTATTAGTAAAGAAATGAGCACATAGTGAAGTCTGAATGTGGAGAGGCTGCTCAGAGTAACATAGTAGATTATATGTGTATATAGAGAGTGCTAAATGTCATAGTGCTCTGCCCAAAACTGTGGTGCGTCCTTTTCTGGATGCCTCCCCTTTGCTATTCCGGACTCTGCTCAGGATCCTCCCCCGATGTCGTCAGCCCCTGTTCCTAGAGCCTTGTGTGGTCCTGCTGACTCGTCTCCTCCTCGGCTAAACCAGCAGCCTCATGAGGTCAGCGACAGGCACTTCCGTCCTGCACCAGCTACTAGATTAGTGGTCAAATGTCCATGGGCTGCATCTTCTCGCATCTGTCTCTGGAGTGTGGAGCGGCAGCGTTGAATCGCTCTCCACCCTGCCCTCAGCCAGCGGAGTGACCAGAGCGTCCTCTGCTTTCTTGCGCCGGCTCTTCCTGCGGAGACACAGCCGCTGTATTGTATTTCCTAAAGACAGTGACATGAACTTCGATTTCGTGATGATAGTGAGTAACCCCAGGTGAGATAAAGCAGCCTGATGTCAAAGTTTTAAGTACACGAGAGCCACAGAGGAGGACCGCAGGCGAGCCGCGCACTAACCCGCACCCAGGCGCCGGGTTCCCTGGAGAAGTACATACAGCGTTCTCAGCTTGCATCCCTTAAGATCTTTCAGGGTGGGTGAAAATGGAATTCATTAGGAGGAAAATACTGTTTTTATTCTGTTTGCATAATTTTGCTTGAGAGTATTTACGTGTGTTTAGGAGCATCATTCCATTTTGGTCAGTGCTTGCATTTTTCATTTAGTGAGTGACTGTTGAGGTAAGTGCTTTCTCTGGGAGCTGGGAGGAAGGCATTTTGATTCAGAAAAGCTCTTCTATTTAGGTAAATTTAAGTTGTCCGAGTCTCTGAGGATGTCGTCAGCATTTGTTTCCGTGTTGGTAGCTGGGGAGTGTTCTCGCTCCTCCCCGCAGCTCTCACTCGCGCCCGTAGGTGGGGACTGCATTCCCCTCGCTGTGTCTTAGGACCTCACACTGTTACTTTTAAGGAATTCCTCTCCAGGTAGCACTTTCTATTTTTTTTTAAACACTCCTGTGACATAGAGCGTGGGAGCTGCAGCCATTGGAATGAGGGCTGCTGTGCTTCCCTTCCTTCTGTGCAGCGCCTCCTGCTGAGTCCAGAGGGGAGCGGGCTGTGCTTTCTCTAGATGGCTGGAGGAGAAATTCCACTGGGAGCAGTCGGCGGACGTGGTGACGTGGTGACGGGCAGGGAAGGCAATCGGGCAGGGAAGGCAATCGTTTCAAGTGGGGAGTGGGCCACAGGTGTTTGTGAGCCCTGGGAGTTTTTGACTGGAGTGAGCCTGCTCCAGGCCAAGTTGTAGGTAGCTGAGTGCGCGAGTGATGGATGAATGGGGCTCTGAAGAAGAGGGCTGGGTGGGTTTCAGGGCTGCGATCGGGCCCCACAGTATGAAACCCTGTCCCATAAGACAGTTCCCGACTGAGATCTGGACTCCTGTCCTGGCTCCATCTTGGTAAATTCTTGTAATGTTTTTTGAAAAAACAATTGGTGAACACACACCCACAGACCTTAACTGAGTGAGTGTCCCAAGAAAATATAAAATATTGGAATTATATATTAGGGGCCTGGATTTTCGAATGAATCATATAGGTCTGTTTCGTAGGTGGGGACAGACTGTGTTGTATAATGCGTTTTCTGCTTGTTTTGTCTGCTCTTTTCCAGGTCCATTGAGAGTGGAGCTTTGGGTTTTTAATTTCTATCTTGTTCTAGTACAGTGGTTCTCCAGTTTTTTTCTCTACACCATTCCCATGTGCCACACTTTTGGAAATACACCACATTCTGACAGTGTGGTTCCCAGTGGGGGCGGTTGGGATGCACATTTCTGAGAGGCTGGGTGGGTACCTCTGACTTAAAAAAGCCGTCTTCCCCCACTGGGAATCATCGATCTGCGGTGAGAACAGGGCCCTGAGATGTGTCAGGGTGATCAGTAATTTCAGTTTGGAAAAGCTCTTTTGGATTTGTTCAGAATGTCGCCTTGAACGAGTATTACCTTCCTCCACTGCCCTCTCTCCCAAGTGCAGTCTCTCTGACTTGGGGGCCGCAAGCCTGTTATCACCAGCTGCCTGGAAGGGGTTGGCAAGGTGGGCCTGGTGTCTGTACAAGCTGATTTCTTAGTTTGCCAGGTTTGGTGGGACTCCTGGAACTTCTTGAAGGAGTTGGGATGAAGTGTAACAAAACTGGATTTGGATTAAAAGCTCCCGCCCAAGTACTTGGGCAAGTGCTGATGAAACCTTATTTGGCTTCAGTTTCCTAATGAATAAAGGAGAAGGGTCTGCCTCAGAATTACGTGCTGTCTGTGGCCCCTTCCATCTTCAGACATGAATTGCCGAGGAATTGGGGTTGGCTACAGGAGGCCTTTGCAATCCAGTTATTCCATTTGTTTGTTCCTGGAATCTAGGTTATTCGGCGTTTAGGACTATTTCAGTAAAATTTGCCTGAAAAGCATAATTGTACCCAGTGCCGTGTAAACATTCACACATTCAGGCACACAACCTCCTCCCCACGTCCAGGTGAAATGGGAACCTGTCTGTAGAGGAAGCACAGGTATCATTGCGGATTTTGCCTGCAGTGCTTGCTGCCTGTCGGCGGAAGAGACTCCTGGAGTCATTGTGATAATGTCACAGGAATGAGAGGAACCTGGCACCTCTGGGAGACCTAGTGATATGTGACTTCTCTGCCTCTCCCCCTTGTCTTTTTTTTGAACCTGTTCTGTTAATGATTGTACCTAATTATGTATTTTTGAGCTTTTCACTGTTTACCATTAAAATGGTACCTAAAGCCGATTGTTTGCTTTTGTCCGCTGTAAATCCTGGGCTGCCATCTGAAGCACAACTTGATGATTGTGTATTATCATCGTGGGTTAAGTGCTGTCTCATTGCCTTGCAGGCTCCTGCTGTTTCCCGGGGAGATCATGAAACGAGGTCGCCTTCCCAGCAGCAGTGAGGATTCTGACGACAATGGCAGTAAGGCCTGCTTTGTTGTTCTTGGAGCCTACCAGGGTTTGGGTCAGTTTGGAAACATGATTTTTTAATGTAATGCTTTAAATAGCTGAGGCCCTTTGCACATCAGGCAGGTCGGAGGAAGCCGCGGCCTGGAGAAACACATCTGAGCGGGATGCTGCAGGTCTGTAACTAGATCTTTCCGGGTGAGGCTGACTGCGGGCAGGCTTTCCTCAGGCTTCCTGTTTGTTATCCAAGGGTGAAGAATCCAGTTTCAAGAGTCACTGGTGTGTCTGTTTTTCCTAAACGTCATTTATGGGACGTCACAGTTGCTCTTTGTGAAAAGGCGCCTAATCGAAGCCAGTTAATTATTAACCGGGTCATCACATGCCCGGGGATTGAGGGCAGCCTGCTGTGATGTGAGGACAGTCACTACAGGCTTTTATTTTTAGTACGTGGCCGGTCAGGGCGCCTCACTTGATTTTACCATGACTGCATTTAACGCGACTACCGCCTGCATCTCAGCTCTGGCACCCTCATGTTCTCACGGTGCAGCTGCGAACCAGAAGTTAGCTGGCTTCCAGGCAGTCACAATGAATGCGTATGGAGGAGCTAACAGGCCACTCAGCGAGTTCCTCTCAGATGACAAGGACATTTTGTGTGTATCACAGTGCTTGAGCTCCAGCCCATCAGCTGATGTCATACATTGCAGATCAAACTCGGGACACCTTGAAAGAATGCTCGCTCGACTGTGCGATGGCAAAAGTGTCGGGCCTGCTTTCAAGGAACTCCGTCTTAGACGTATCTGAGCTCCAGCTCTGATAGGAAGTCCCAGGGCAGCCATGGCGATGTCTGAAGCCCTGTGCAGGCGGATACATGTAGGCACACATTCACAGGTGGGGGGCGGGGGCGTGCGGCGGGGAGCCTAGGGAGATGGAAGTGGGGCAGGCAGTTCCCCAAGGATGAAATAGTTTTTGAGCAGACAGGGTTGTTTTAGTTTTCTAGTTTACGAGTTTTTAGCAGATTAAAAGCTGCACATTAGAAAGCAAGGCTTCGCTGCTGTGGGTGGCCACACTGAGCATAGGAGGTCGAGGACCAGAAACGTGAGAACAGAACCCAAAACACAGCGTTTTGCTTGGAGCTTTGGGTTCAGGCATGGAGCAGTGGGAAGTAGAACCAGTGGCTGTGGGAGGGGTGTCGAGTATTTGGGGGTACATGCGAAGGTAGGCTGTGACCAGACTGGGAGGGGTGGGATGGAGGAGCTGAGGGATTTTGGGCAGACAGTGGGGCTGCTCTTTGGCACAGGGAAGAGTGACCTGGAGGAGGGAGGGAGAGCCGGAGCGCAGGGGCTCCAGAGAGGCGGGTTTCGCTTTGATTCCGGGGGGAGGTGGCGGATCTGCGCCCAAGTGCGGGCGTCACGGCCGCCTGTCAGCCTTCAGGGCGCTTTCCGAGCTTCTTAGCACTTGCCAATTTACCTTTCTCTCTAATATTTGCTTAGGCTTTTCACTCCTCAAGGCACAAACATGCTTAGGTATTTCTTTTCTGCCCCTGTGGTGTCTATCAAAATGTCCTCAGGAATTATACGTACTCAACAAATGCCTGCTGCTTGGTCCAGTACACAGTTTTGCCTTTCAGCAGTTAAAAAAAACCTTGCTTTTTGGTCTCAGAATTAATCAAAAGAAGGTTTTATGAATTACCTCCGCATACTAATAATGCCCAATAGGAGGCTAAGAGCCCTGTTTTCGAGCAACAGGTTTACGCTCACTCTGCCACCATCACTGCCTCATTTCCTCATTTCTGAGCTGCTTTAGAATAAGTTCTCCTTTCCGAACCAGAGCTGCCCAATGAGATGGAAATGTTCTAATCTAGTGTAGCTGAGGAACTGAATTTTTAAATTTGTTTAAATTTTAATTAATTTAAAAGGCCACCTGTGACTAGTGACTGCCATACTGGACAAGGCCCAGTCTCCTCCTCCTCAGCTGTCCACAGGTCCTCCTAGCCCCAGAGGCCCCTGTATCAGCCAGCTCGGGCTGCTGCAACAAATACCGCACTCTGAGTGGCTTGAATAACATATTTACTTTCTCACAGTTTCAAGTCCAAGGTATCAGCAGGTCCAGAAGTTCAAGGTCCAAGGTATCAGAAGGTCTGCTTTCTTTTGAAGCCTCCCTCCTTGGCTTGCAGAGAGCTACCTTCTTGCTGTGTCTTCACATGGTCTTCTGCACATGTGGTCCCCTGGCTCTCTTCTTATAAGGACACCAGTGAGATTGAATGGATCGGGGTCCATTCAAATGACCTCATTTAGCTGAATCACCTCTTTTAAAGGCCCCGTCTCCAAATACATCACTTTCTGAGGCACCCGGGGTCTGGTTTTAGCATATGAATTTTGGGGGATACAGTGCAGCCCATAGCAGCTCTAGAAGACCGAACGCTTCATGTAAACATGCACCCCCCACCCACGAACTCTGGTTAGAAAGGAAGGAGGAAGGGAGCGCCCAGAGTTCCTATGAAAAGTGTGTCCATCAAAACCCAACCTTATCGGTGATGGGCCATTTTCTTCCTCCTCCTTATATGCTCGTGTCCGTGTTGGGGCAGAGGATTAGGTAATTATTTATAAGGGTACTGAGGGATTAACCTGAAGAGACCACAAAGCTGGCTTCTCTTCAGCCCTAGGCTAGACCCGGAAGCCGAAGGTGGTGGTAGAGGACGAGATGGTAGGTGCTAGTCCTTTTGTCATACGGTTGGCTCAGCATAATGGCCGCGTCGTCCATCCAGACCTAATGATCTGGTAATTATGGGGGATGATGATAGCAGTGAGAACCTCAAATGCCAGCCAAGCCTTATAAAACCGTGCGCATATCCACACCATGGAGCGTACCCTGACCATCTTCTCTGAGGGCAGCTGCTTCACCATGTAGGCCTCTGCCACCTGCCGGCCTGTTTGCATGGCATCCCTCCTTTGGTGGAGGCCCATGGGGGTCGAGTGGGGTACCTTCTGCCCCTGCAGTCAGGTCCCCGGAACAGCCTGTGCCAGCTGAATCTGGGCCCTTGGGAAGGAAGCCCTGCTTGGAAGATGGGCTGGGTCTGTGCAGTGGCTGCTCCCCAGCATCTCCAGCCTGCAGCCCTGGCAGAATTCTGGCAGCACCTCCCAGCCCGATGCCGAGCACGTCCAAGTGGAAGAGCG